CCAATGAAAAACTCATTCCCTACCCTACTTAGTTCTCAACTTAGCTTTTAAAATGATACTTCGTGTAAGAAAAGGTTAATGGTTACAAAGGAAAATGAATGTGCTAAACACCAAAGGTCATAAAGCTCTGTAGAAAGGTGCAACAGTGAAAAGGGCGTCGTGGACACGTCATCATCACGCGAATAAATGGGCAAAGCGGATGCCATTCGGATGGTTCAAATAAACAAGCTTGGACGAGACGTCAGAAAGAGCGAGGACTCGAGCAGTCGACTGGAAAGGAGGCAGTCACAAAAAACTGGGGCACCATGACCCGAAGCGACGTAAACATCATATGATAAAGGATGACACCACGTGAGAAATCACGAGTGCGAAACAACAATGTATCAGTCGGGGAACAAGAAATTAAAGTCGGGTGGCTGGTAGAAAAAGTGAAAAGTAATAAATCGTGTTAAAAAATGATGGGACACACCAAAGTCCTCATGCATGTATCGTTCTAAGAGAAATGGATAAGTGATAACAGCACAGGGCGTGACAGGATGAGCCCCATATCGAAAATAAAAGGACGCTCAGTGACGAAGACTGTGGACAAGGTCTCGGAGTAGCGTCCAGTAGCCAAGTAATTTAGTGTACTATCGTGATGGGACATGGTGGGCAGGAATTAGAAATGGGAAACAGTAACATGGAAGTTATTCTAGTAATATGGGAGAGATATTCTGGAACATTATTAGGGTTAGGAAGAAAGTAAAACATATTGAAATAAATTGATTATTAAGTTTAATGTGGCAATATTGTGTTGGGTGTATCTTTACTTGCATTTAATGGAAATAGGCTAGTTTGTAAGAGTACTCAAATAACTGTTTTCTAAGATAGAAAGCTCAATGGAAGTGTACAGGCAGTGACAAGTCCTGTTATTGTCCGACAGAGCGTGAGGTGTTTTTTTTGTCAATCGCGTATTTGATTTTATGATTTTTTTTTTTTTTTTTTTTTTGCTTAATTGGTTAATGTAATAACGTAGAAATACAATTCAAGTTTGTGCTAATCAAAATGAACTATTTGTTTCTTTTAGAATAATATTCAATTCACAGAGGAAAAGCATCTCTTGTGATCATTATGCTTTTGCGTAATATCGAAGTGATTTATTAACTTTTGAAATATTAAATAAATAATTACATTCATAATCAGTGATATTTTGTTTTTTTATTTGATAATATTTGAGTAATTAAGATATAACGTAATTCCCAGTGTTCTTGATTTTGTTTTTGTCGTTTCATGACATAATTGTACAATAGTGAGTCATAACTGTCTAGTTGTATGTATTGTCAAGATCCTAAATGATGTCTTGTATGTTGTTTGATATAATCTTTGATTTTGTGATTTTATTATATTACACTGATAATGAATTATTAATTAATAAATGTATTGATTTTCATAAAGATTTAACTCAACCCTTGAATTACACTAATTAAAATTAATACTTTGAGATACATTGATTAAGTTATTGAAAGTACACCATAATTATTGAAAAAAAATAACATTTTTTAATCTAACATGTCTTGATTTAATGAATGTTGTGGAATAGGGGTCCACAACATGGGTAAAGAGGTGGGTTACCTGTGCTACGTCAGAAATCGTATAGCAGTTCAGGAAGGTAGGGATTAACAAGGGTGATTCGATCAGAGTTGTCTAATGATGAAGTATGGGATTTTGCAAGGTTGTCCGCGGGGTAAAGTAGGGATTAACAAAAGAGAAAGGTTTAAGGGCGATTAGATCAGTTTCACTGGAAAAATGCCAAGGAAGGGTGTTGAGTCATGTGTGTATCCAGGTTACCAGTTTGTCTCCTAACAACCCCCCTACCCCAGCAACAACGGGCATGGAATGGGGGGGGAGGTTTATACTGAATGCCACCTGATATTGTGGTACGTTTCTGATGCTTAGGCTTCACCATAGGCTTAATGTAACTCTATATGGTTTGAATTACTTATAAACATTGGTTTATATTATAAATTATATGTAAGATCATTTTCACTTTACATTTCTAGGATATATGAATACCTAAATGGTTTTGCAAAATGGTACTTTAATTTCAAAGGATTTTTTTGTCTACAGAAATACTACTTTGTGTTAACATAATATTCAATATATACACTATTTTTTTTCCTCAATGAATCATGGTACTCCATAGTGAAACTGAATATAAAGAGCAGAGGCATGAATATATATCAGTTGCAGGCAGAATATTCAGGAATGCAAATCAAACTGCATATTTAAATAGGGTTTATTCCAGTGGAATATTGTACATTATTATACCTTTACAAATATTAACTTAAATATCTACAACAAGTACAATTTGGAGAGTCAGCCTCAGATACCTATGTACATTTGCCTTCCTTCAACAATTGATTTTTTAAAAATCTTTGTAGTGATTGCGATTGTTTTTATTTTCTCAAGAGAAATGCACCTTATTTGGTTAGGATTATAGTGAGAACAGAATTCATTGATAATTTGACTTAAAACACTTGAACACTATAATATATATCCCTTACTACTACTTTTAATCTTGAGGCTAAGTGTATTCAAATAAGTTGTATTCAGATGCAAAGCAGGCACTGCTTAGCAGAATAATACAACATATGAACACAGTGTGAAGATAAATTGTTTTTCTCACAATCTTTCACCGGTAGTTAATTATCCAACCTGATTAAATTATCCACTTTAAGGTGATGACACTAACGAAGGGATTTAGCTCTCTAGATGAAACTGCCCACATCCTAAACTGCCTCCTTATTAAAAAAAAAAAAAAGGATAAACACTTTTTTTCTTTACAATTGGTCAATATATGGCACCGCAGACAAGCTACCAATGGCACCCATGCTCAGCTTGCCTCCCATGACTTTACTCACAGCCTGGAAATATAAGAATTATAAATGGTGGAATACTATACGCAAGTTTCTCTGGATGCTTCATATAAATAGAGAAGCAATATTTCATACAACTGCTGTCTGAAGTGTAACACTATTTCAAACCTAAGGTTTTTAAGGAATGACAAAGACACACAGAAAGAAACCTGGCTACTTACAGACTGGACAGAAGAGGCAGTAACACCATCAATGGCAGCAGCAGCAGCGGAGGGGTTGGCGTACGTGCCAGTCAGGAGAGCTTGAAGTCCCATGTCCTCCAGATGCTCAGCTGCACACAAATCCCTCATTATACATATATCATAATATCTAAATAAAAGTTTTTTTTGTAGTTATCCTGAGCTGATAGGTTATGTGTATTTGCAAGATGATTTACACAGAATAATTAATGTATCCTATTCTTACAAGCACAGAATATGCTGGATTTAATAGCTTTACTAAAATGAAGTAAATCCTCTTGAACTGTTTTTCTCCCTGATATAGTTAAAGAAATATGACTGCTTTTATGGATATTGGGAAATAAAAGTTAAACCTTTTAATAAAAGTGATTCGCCGGTTGGTGTCATGAATGTCAATGTCCTTTGTGACTGATCACAAAGCCTGAAAATCAGCTTAGACAGGTCACTGGTCTACAAGATTTCTAATGAAAATCCCTAATGTCTGTATTCTCCTTTTGGACCTGCAGCTTCCTCTGGGATCTACACTGAATCTTGTAATACTTTTTTTTTTTTAAGATACTTGCAATGAAGGTGTTCACAACTGCCATCGAAAGATACTTATTATCCTTTAACATGAACTAGCAAGGTAAATGAGATCAATGGGCTAAATCTAGAACAGTTGGCTAGTCAGTTTGGAGTGTGAATGGGTGACTCACCTCCTGACTCTGTTGCCATGTGGATAGCTGCCTTTGCCATTTTCTTTCCTCGGGCAACATCAGCTTCAGTCACTTTCAGTCCTTTCACTGCAGAGTGCACAGCATCAATAACCTGTAAACAAGTAGCTAGTGATTCAAAAAGGGACAAAAAAAGTATATGCAAAATCTTATAATTTCCAATACTCATCAATTAGACTCTTGATCCTTTGAATATGTAGTATTATATACAGAGCAAGATACTTAAATATAGAAGAAACAAACAAAAAGAGATGATTAAAAAACATTAGAAGATATCATCACTTACCTTATCAACTGATGCAGAGTCAGCCATAATGAAATAACCAAAAAGGCCAGAATCGCTGTAGTTGATGTTGATAGCAGAAGCCGAGCCTAAACCTCCAGATGATGCCACAGCCTTTGCAAGTACACTACTGGCATTGCCACCATATTTGGTACTAGGGCCGATGCCCAAGATCTGCTGGGCTACAGCCAGGGATGCTGCATCACTGCTGCCAATGCTTAGGAAGCAGAGACATACAGGAATATTAATGCACTAACACAAAATAATCACCAAGAGTTTTTAAGCACTAGAAAAAACAAACAACAAAAACTACAACAATCTCTCTCTCTGTCTTACCTGGCACCAGCTCCAGCAACAGCAACACAAGTAACAGCAGCTCCATTCTCTTGCCGCAGGTCTCCACTTCCATATGCTCCAACAGTAGGAACTCCATCTCCTGAACCCACCCCAAGGCTCTTGGCATAAGATACCAAGCCCTCATGGTCAACCCCCAAACCAACTACAGCCATGCGACTGGCCAGGTGGGTTGAGGCAACAAAGTCACCCATCTGCAGAGAGTACATTTATTAATAATGTGTCTGCAATTTCAACACAATATTTCAAAGATCAAAGTTGAACCTAAAATAGAAAACCCATCACAAAAGGTAAATCTCAAGTATGTTGAGAAAGACCTTCATAATCAATCTGACAAATGGAAGTGCACAACATACCACACCCTGAGAAAGCTTGCCAAGCTGGTAATCTGGCACAAAGATGGAATTCCCAAGGCCAGAATTACGGAAAGCTGCACCATGCAACAATTCCAGGGCCAGGGTGGAAGGATCTCGCATAGCAAGCTCAATTTTAATCCTCTTAAGGTTGTCTGCCAGTTCCCATGGCTTGAAGGAAGGCTGAGTGGCTACACTTGCAA